AGTTCTGATAAGTATGAGTCGTCCATTGCTAGTCATTTGTTTGAGCATCCTGATTGTCGTGCTGTGTATTCGGATGATTGTTTTTCGATTGTGTCACGTGTACGCAGTGCTAGATTGCTGAATGTTTTGGAAGCTGTATACATCCACACAAGGAAACCCAACCTTTGCAAGCAGAAACAAATCAAATTCACACTTAGGCTGTTAGGTAGGTCGTCAAAACCTCGTTAGTTACATGTATGTCCAGTGGTTGTCTCTTGTTGTCGCACTACATGTCGCGCTTATTGAGTTTTCTCGCATTTGCACCTTTGTGTCATTATTGCAATTTTCGCTGTTTACTTTAGCTATCTTCTTTCTTTCTTTCTTTCTTTTTGCGCTGTTTTACCACCTTCTTACTGTATTTAATCCACTGTTCCTGTTCCTTTTCCCTTGCCTGTATTTCACCTGATGAGAAGGCTTGAAAGTATACTTGTGAAGACGAAAACTTTCAAGATGTTTGTAATGAGCCTGAAGTGTGTCCTTTTTATGAGTATAATAATAATAATAATAATAATTCTGCTCGAAAAGCAGTGAAATTGGCAGAACCATACAAACCTTGTGGCGGGCAATTCCTCGAATTCTGCTCCATTTCTTTATCCACATACCAAACATGCATGAAACTTACCAGAAAAAGTACCGAATTCTGCCAATGTTTCTGCCGGCAGAATCCGCCGGACCCTAGGCTCAGGTGCAGAAAGTTCCAATGAGGGGAAGGGATGCGCCACGAAGATGTGCACGAGCTATGTCCCAAGGTAACATACATGTAGAATGGCGAGCGTTTCAGGATGATGATTTTATTTTTTTACTGAATACTACAAAACCATCAGATGATGCACAGCGCAGGGACGGTAGCATATCGGATGGAAGTGGGGGCGGGGCAAAAGTAACTCCTCCGATCAAAGGCTTCGGATTCATCCTTACTCATGTGCGCCGATCCGTAGGAGAAAGAACATGTGCATCCAAGAGGGAAGCACCTTTGCAAACGATAATGGAGAGAATTAGAGATTGAGATAGGACATTACAATAGTAAAAGCAGTGCACCGTGGAAATAGGAAGATGGAGAGAACTGATAATCGCATACGGTATGATGACTGGGAGAGACAAGCTTGGTTTAAGGCTGAGCGAAGGGACTCAGAGAGGGGTAGAAGGGAGCTGAAGTGCGGTCAGTACATTAGGCTGGTGTATAGGCTGCGATGGAGAGATCGTAACCTGTCTATAGTCCACTCCCACTTGCTGCGCCGCAAGTGGTCGTAGACATTTCTCTTGAAGGTGTGCATATCTCTGCGAGAAGCGGGAGACTTCAGAAGGGTAGGTTGGAGCTGATTCCACGTTGCGATGAGGGAGTGGGGAAATGAGCGGAGTGTGTTGTTTCATGACTGAGGAGGAAGGATACTGGCGAGTTGTGACGGATGATGTGCTACAGACCTGGTTGTCTCACGAGTAGACATGTGGCATTGCGGTGCGGCTGCTGGTGGTAGCAGAATGGCTTTCACCATTTCCGGACCATCTACAAAGTGGTCGGTTGGTGGGTTTTTATTTCACTTCGCACATTCAAACGGGATGACGACCCAATAAAATTACGGCGAAGGCTAAGCCTAGAAGTGGCTATGGAAGAACATAGAAAAAGCTATGGAAGCACATAGTAAGAGAATAGGATACTAATAACTGCGAGTAAACGGGGGGAGAGAGAGAATACGATGTATCTGTGATACTACGTGAGGATTACTGAACTGCACGGGGAGGGAGAGCAGAGCGATCAGCAGCAACTCGAACTACTCTCTACAGGCGTATGGTACACATGCATGCTTAAACTCAGGTAGCCGGGTAATTGTGCGGACCTCACCAGGGAGAGCGTTCCACAGCAGAGCACCAGCAACAGAAAATCTCCGCTGACCGCGGCGGCTATTATTTGAGGATTTCCCAAAGACATAGTCTAAATTGAAGGGAGTTCCATTATAATGGGAGGCTGTAGGGTTGAGATAGCAGACAGTGGAGGGCTAATAATTCGTAATGAACAGCCTAGCAAGAGAAATACAATTATGCTGAATGTTCCAGAATGGTCCTTTAATCAATGATACCTATAGCCTCGGGATATGCCTTGAAATACGAAATGTACCGAAACAGAAACACAAAAATGAATAAGAATAAGCGCAACGCACAAAGAAGGAGGACAGAGGCATGTCAGTGAGGAGTGGCATTGTGTTTGGTGCCAGAGAAGTGCGTGCAAATGTGACTGTGAAACAGGGACTGCGAGGCTGTGGCTCTCAGGTCTGCGGGCAAGGCATTCCAGACAGTAGCGGTGCGGAAGAGAAATGACCTCCCGGCGTGTTTCCCAACCTGTGGCAGAGTGAATGCGAGTTGGCGGCGGCGACTACGCGTGGGGCAGTATCCCGCTGCTTCAAAAAGTTCTGGTTGGGTGGTGACCAAATGGAAGAATTCCATAAGGCAGGCGATCTTCCTGCGCCAGGATAGACTTGGCCACCCCAGCTGTTTAAACAATGATGACTTGGGCTCGTCTGATGGGCAAGGGCATCTCTCAAGCCGCATGACTGTGCGAGCTACTCTGGCTTGCAGCCGTTCAAGGGTGAGCCGCTGTGCAGCAGAGAGGGAGGACTCCCATACTGGGGCGGCGTATTCTGCTGTGGGGCGGACATACGTAAGGTACAGCTTCCTGACGATGTCTCCTGTTAAGCGGTCAGCCATATGGCACAGAAGAACGCAGCGTTGTCTAAACTTGCTTATTGTCTGTTCAATATGCTCCTGGAAGCTAAGTGTTTCACTCAACAACACTCCCAGGTGACGGTGACTGGTTACGGTTTGCCTGGCTTAGTAGGCCATTGACTGCTGATGGCGGGTAGGGGTGCCTTGTGCTGGGGTCAGGAGCTGGGCGAGCACAGGGCTGGTGCGGGCGTGGATGCACCGCCAGATGGTGATCAATATGTTCTGCCTGTAGAGCTCGCTGACACGGTACAGGGAGTGAGCAGTGAGCAGCGGCTGCATGGCTGTCCGGGGCGGGTTGCCATCGATACAGCGGATGGCTCTGTTTTGCGCGGTTTGCAGTCGTTTCAGTTGACCCTCTCGCATTGCGGCTGAAAAGCAGCAGGACCCATAAAGCAGGTCGGGCATTATGACCGCCTTCACATACACCTGACGAGAGCGTCTTGATAGGCTTCGGCGTGCCCGCCACAAGGCGCCAATTTTCTTGGCAACCTTGGTGACCACATAGTTTACATGGGTGTCCCAATCTAGGCGATTGTCAAGGTGAACGCCGAGGTAGCGCGCAGAAGACGCTGAGGGGAGGAGACAGTCGCCGCTTTTGACTGTTACTTCCTGTACATGCTGCTGGGGAGAGATAGTCAGAACCTGGCTCTTGGTGGCGTTCAAGATGAGGCCTCGGGACTTCAAGCAACCGGCCAGAGCAGTTGCCGCTGTGGTGAGGGTTCTGGACGCTTCCGCCGCTGAGGCCTGGGAGTCGTACAGGGCTATATCATCTGCAAATTGTACACTTGGCACAGGCGAGGAAACCAAAGGGACATCTCGTGTGTATATACTGAAGAGGACAGGGCCGAGAACAGAGCCTTGGGGCACTCCGCAGGTGCAAGCCAGAGCAGGGCTGGTTGAAGGCGAAATGAGGATCTGCTGCTTGCGGCCGGACAAGAAGTCGACGAACCAACTAAGGGCTTTTCCAGAAATTCCAACCGCAAGGAGGTCTTGAATTAACTTGTCGTGGTGCACTATATCAAAAGCCTTCGACATGTCTAATAGGCACAGCCCTGTGGTCTTGCCACTGTCTCTCCCCTTCTGCAGATTATCAGTCAGCACACAGAGGGCGTCTTCCGTGGAACATTTCTTGCGGAAGGCAAATTGTGTTTCGGGTAATGCCTTGGTCAAGTCCAAATGACGAACTAACTGGTGTTGCACTACCCTCTCCAGCAACTTGGACACTATTGGGAGAAGGGATACAGGTCTATAGTTGGTGGGGACTGATGGGTCACCGGCCTTGTACAGTGGCACGACAGACGCCAATTTCAATGCGGATGGAATGGTTCCAGTCCTCAGCGAGGTGCAGAACAGCACAGCAAGAGAATATGCAAGCAAGTCAGCACACTGCTGTAGCAGAGAGCCCGGTATGCCGTCACTACCTGTGGCTTTCCGCGCATCCAAATTCTCAAGGAGACGTCGGACGTCAGCGGGAGTCACAGGATCAAGTTTGGTCAAGGAGACTGGTCCAGCGGGACCGTGCAGCTTGTACAGGAAGCAGAGCCCTGCTAAGGTACGTTGAATGTCGAGGCTCGGGAGGTATGATCCGTTTCAAGTTATGTGTAGGGAACCGAACGGCGCTGAATGGCAGTGAGGCGGGCCAAGGTGGTGGGGGCCGCACTCTGTGGCTGCGGAATGCCAGCTGCCGGTCGAAAGTGACGCCAAGAAGCTTGAGCTCCTCTACTTCTGGCACGACTGCTCCTTGGAAGCGTATTGCGTTCGGAGGGTTTGGCGAGCAGTGGCGGCTGATGGTCAATGCCTGCGACTTTGTGGGCTCGAACTAAGCTGCTTCCCCATGCTGCCAGTGAGTCTACTGCCTGCTGGAGGATTGTTGTCTCTTCTGCCAGTCTGAGTCGGGTGGTGATGCACTTGTACTTGTAGAGAGCTGTGTCGTCGGCGTATACAGCCAGCTTCGCTCCATCAGGCAGGTGGTCTTCTGCGTCGTTGACGTACAGAAGGAGTAGGGTGGGGCTGAGGATGCTGCCCTGCCGCCCGCCAAATTGGATTCGGTGGGTTGGTGAAGACTGGCCGCTTACGACGATACGGATGTGGCGGTCTGTCAGGTAACTTCGGCGCCAGGGGCCGCTTATACCGCACCGCTCAGTCTTGTGGAGGACGTCGTTGTGAGAGACCTTGTCGAAGGCCGCGGCAATATCTACTGCAAGGACCCTGACGAGGCCTCCACCGGCAGCTGCAAGGCTCCACTAATGCTGAAGAGCAATCAGCAGATCGGAGGTTCCCAGTCCAGTGCGAAAGCCAAACTGCCTGTGAGAAAGAATGTCATTCTTCTTCTGGTAGTTGGACAGGCTGCGGTTCATAATGGACTCCATGCGCTTAGACATTATGGTCGGTCGTGATATCGGTCGGAAGTTTCTCGGGTTTGACTTGGGGCTTTTCTTGTGTACCGGTACGACGTTGGCAACTTTCCACATGGCAGGTTGGTGACTACTGCAGAAGCCCAGGGTAAACAGCTTGGATAGAGGCAGGGCCAGAGAGTCGGCACATGTTCTCAGCACTCTTGCGGCTACTGCCATCAGGCCATGTGGCTTTACTTGGATTGAGAGGTCGGAGTGTCCAGCGTACCGTGGCTTGGCGGAAGTGGACTGTTGCAAGCGTATTTGCGGTGCTCCAGCGGACATGCGGGAACGGCCCCGACGGTTCTGCGAAGTCATCTTCTGGGCTGCACTTCTGGGCAAAGTACTTCCCGATGACGTTAGCCTTGTCGTGGCTTTTGGTGCATTCCATGCCATCGGGGTCAACCAGGACTGGGATGGAGCTGTCCCGGCCATGCCCTCCAACTCGTTTAATCACGCTCCACCACTCTCTGTCCTGCAGGATGCCCGTCCTGAGCCGTTGCTTGACATGGTCAAGATATCTGGCTTTGGCTCTTGCTAGATATTTTGTTCAATCAAGGCGTGCTTGTAACAGTTTTCCCCTGTTCTCTATAACTTTACACTCCCTCGCACCTCATGCGTCTTACGCCTGTCTATTAGCACCTTCATTGGCGCCATTGCCACATGTATACTATCACATTTTGCATATAACTGGTCGAGGCACGCTCAACCAGGCCTCTTACTTTTCAAGTTTGATTAAACCTGTTACACTGGTAGCAGAGGATGGTTACTACTCTGCTTTTGGCAGGTGTTCTGGTCGCTCTGCTTACGCTCCTCGTACTCGTCGTTCGGCTGATAAACGATATCAAGACCGCTCAGCGCGTTAGCCAAGGAAACCGAACGATACATCCGAACTCGGAACCGTGGGAGCCAACACCTCGCCTTACGAAAGAGCCGCCTGTGTTTGGAGGAGATTCCGCTACATTCAAAGAATGGACGTTTACAATGGACATGGCCCTACGGTCGTTGGCACTCCCAAATGCGGCACAGAGGGTCGACTACGCGGCAGGATTTTTGACTGGAAACGCTCGTCTTTGGTTGATAGCGGCATTGGAAGCTAACCAAGTGTTTTCCGACTGGCCTGCTCTGAAAGCGGCACTTGGCGATGTGTACGGACCACGGCACAACGAGGAAACATCGCGTATGGGACTAATTTCCGCAGCGCAGCGCGGGTCGCTGGACGCATACATTGCTGCTTTCACTCGCCTCAGCCTGCAAGTGCCGGAAATCGACCACCACACCAGAGCGCTGCTGTTCGTCAGGGGTCTTACGCCGCACATCCAGCGACAGGTCATGCGTGAGCATCCACGTACCCTGGAGCAAGCTGTCATGGCAGCAAACACCGTGGAGCAGTCGCCAGGGCCACCGGCGTCGGGGCCACCAGCCAGTAGAGAGTCGCGTTCCGTGCCCAGCTTCCGTGGTCAGGGCCTCCGCAAGCTGACGGACCAAGAGCGTGTCCAACTGCGAGCAATGGGACACTGCTTTGCTTGCAGGAAGCCAGGCCACCTCGCTAAAGACTGTACTGAGGGTGGACAGCGCTACCCAAACGCTGGTCGCCAGTAAGAAAGGGGGTGCGCTTACTGGCGACGACCCAAGCACCCACGCCGGTACCAGTCGCTAACCGGTTCGGAGCTCTGGAGGTTGAAGACGTTGCTCTCCAGGAACCTACGGAGCCGGAGACACCCATAGCTGTAGGAAATTGTCCCGTTGCAGAAAGGTGTCATGTCAGCAACGTCAGCGTCGGCAATGAACCTGAACACGACCTACTGCGCATACAGGGAAAGATCGGCGGTCGCCATGCAGTGATGCTGATAGATTCCGGTTCGACGCATGACTTCATTGCAGACGGTTTTGTTCGAAAGCATCATCTTGACACGGATGCAAGCTCAGAAATGCTGAGCGTAACATTGGCGGACGGCTCGACCAGCGAGGTCCCGCAGATTTCCACACGCACGCTAAAGGTGACAGTCGGGGGCTTCAGTGAGGAACAGCACTTTACTGTGTATCCCCTGACTCGCTACGACGCTATTCTTGGCAAGCCGTGGCTTACAAGGAACAACCCCAGTATCAACTTCCGTACGAACGAAGTTCAGTTGGACGGTGAGCCCTTTGTTGCCAAATTGCCTTCAGCTAACCCGCCGACAGCCGACCGGCCATCTGTGGAAAGCATGTTTATCAGTGGCCGACAAGCTCGTCATGCCCTGAGGAGTGGAGCCGAAGGGTTTCTTGCATGGGTCACTGCTGCAAACGAGGAGAATCGTTCCGGGCCACAACTCCAGGAATCAGAGCAACAGGACATCCAGAACCTGCTCAAGAGGTACCAGGATTTATTTCCAGACGAGCTGCCGAATGAGCTTCCACCGAAGAGACCAATCGACCATGAAATCCAGATAGAAGATGGAACCAGACCACCGTCTCGACCCGCCTACCGCTTGCCGAAACCAGAGATGGACGAGCTCCAGTCACAGCTGTCAGAATTACTTGAGAAGGGATTCATTGAGCCAAGTAAGTCGCCATACGGTGCACCCGTGTTTTTTGTGAAGAAGTCGGATGGTACTCTGAGAATGGTGTGCGATTGGCGAGAATTGAATAGAATTACGATCAAAAACAAAGCTTGTCTTCCTAATATTGATGACTTATTCGACACGATCCAGGGCAGTGCATATTTCTCCAAGTTGGACTTGCGGTCGGGGTACAATCAAATCAGAATTCAAGACTCGGATGTTTCTAAGACGGCCATTAATACGCCGTTCGGTCACTTCCAATTTAGAGTCATGGGATTCGGGCTGACTAATGCCCCGGCAACCTTTCAGTCACTCATGAACTCTATTCTGCAACCGCATCTCCGAAAATTCGTTGTAGTATTCTTGGATGACATTCTAGTTTTTAGCAAGACCTGGGAAGATCATCTGCATCATCTTCAAACAGTTCTAGAAACACTTAGAAATAGCGAGCTGTATTGCAAACAGTCTAAATGCGAATTCGGCGTGAGAGAAGTTCTCTTCTTGGGGCATAAAATCAACGGCACATCAATTTCCCCTGATCCCAAGAAGATAAGTGCTGTGGAAACATGGCCAACTCCGTCGTCAGTAACTGATGTGAGGAAGTTTCTTGGCTTTGCAAACTATTTCCGAAGGTTCATAGATCGACACTCGACCATCTCTCGTCCATTAGAAGAAATCACCGGAAAACATTCACGCTTTGAATGGAGCGCTGCTAGACAGAAGGCATTCGAGTCTCTAAAATCAGCATTACTCGAGGCGCCAGTGTTGCAACTGGCCGATGTTGAGAAAAGCTTCACGGTAGAAACTGACGCAAGTGACTTTGCCGTGGCGGGTGTGCTCCTACAGCAGGGAGAAGATATGGATTTGCATCCCGTAGCCTATTGTAGTCGGAAACTGTCAGCTGCAGAACGCAACTATACTGCGGCCGAGAGGGAAACGTTGGCTGTGGTATTTGCATTAAAGTGCTGGAGAATCTATCTATTTCGCCACTTTGACCTGATGACTGATAATATGGGTGTTGTCTATTTACGAACCAAACCGACTCTCACCAAGCGTGAGGCAAGATGGGTAGAGTTTTTAGCTGACTATGACTTCACGGTCTTTCACAAACCAGGAAAGAAAAACATTGCCGACCCGCTTTCACGCCGTCCAGATCTGTTCAGTGATTCTGAAATAGGCGGGTCATCCTATCCTAACATTCAGTTGAATGCCATTGAGCATACCCTAGAGATTAATCCAGACTTAGCGCAGTTAATTGTCAGCGGTTACAAGTGCGACAAGGATCTTGCTCCCATTATCAGGAGACTGAAAAATTCAAGCCATGACAATCTGCACGACCGTTACCTTCTAAATGAAACACCCGGTTATCTTTATCTCAGATCTTCACCACAGAACAGGTTATGCATTCCAAAGAGTAGCAAACTCCGACTCGCCCTGCTTCAAGAATACCATGACTGTGTGACTGCGGGGCATCCCGGTCGAGATCGCACCTATTTCAGACTCGCTAGATATTTCTATTGGCCCAGAATGGGACTGGATGTAAAGGCGTTTGTCAAGTCATGTGACGTCTGCCAACGAGTTAAAGGCGGCCAGCTAAAAACTGGTCTCTTGCAGAATTTACCAGTGCCCAGTCAACCGTGGGCGGATATCTCGATGGATTTTATCATGGGTTTGCCTAGGACCGATACAGGTCATGATGCAATATATGTATTTGTAGACCGCTTGACAAAGTGTGTACATTTAGCACCTACTTCCTCTACTATTGACGCTAAAGGAAGTGCTGATCTGTATATTCAACATGTATTTCGACTTCATGGTTTGAGTTCTAGTATTGTATGTGATCGTGATCCAAGATTTACGGCAGCATTTTTTCAGGAATTGTTTGATCGCTTAGGAACGAAACTAGCATTTAGTACTGCCAATCACCCTCAGACAGATGGCCTAACTGAACGAGTAAACAGAATAGTAGAGGATGTGCTGAGGGCTTTTGTAAATCATAAACAAGATAACTGGGATATGCTCCTACCTCTCTGTGAGTTTTCTATCAACAGCGCTACTCAATCATCTACAGGAAACACACCGTTCTTCTTAAATTACGGTCTAAATCCCAGAGCGCCACCCGACTTCCTCAACCCTATTCAGGGAGGCAGAGATTCAGCTGATTGGTTGCAAGCAAGACAAGACGCGGTCAAGATCTCACAAGATGCGCTAGTGGCAGCTCAAGCTCGTCAGGCCTTCTATGCAGATCGGACAAGGGTCGAGGGAAAGCTGAAGGTGGGAGATTTGGTAATGGTCTACCGGGATTTCCTCCTGACTCCTGAAGCTCGGGACCGACCATCCCATAAATTACGCCCCAAGTGGTTTGGCCCCTTTCCTATAACCCATGTGGTCGGCCCGAATGCCTACAAGCTCAAGTTGCCTCATACCAGCCGCTGTCACCCGGTATTTAATGTGTCGGCACTCCGTGCCTACGAGAAGAACGCTATTCCTAATAGGAGACAGCCTACGCCTCCGCCTATCACGGACCTTGATGGTCATGCCCGCTATGTGGTGGAGAACATTCTCAGTCACCGCCGCCGGCAGAATCAGCTTCAGTACCTAGTCAAGTGGCAAGGCTACTCTGATGCCACTTGGGAGCCTGAACATTATTTGTTGGATGAATCTGGTAATGACATTGTTCCACTTCAGAAGTACAAAACCTTGGCTTCTGCCCGCTGAGTTTTGCAGTTGAACTTCTAGTTTCACCTTACACATTTGTTGAGCTTATTACACTTTTATTTGCATGGAGTTTCAGTCGTCTTATTGTGTTACTTCAGTGCGAAGCCTTTTTTCGTCTCGCACGTGTTTGCGCTTATTGTACTCTATTCCACTTGAGCATTTGGGTTATAAGCTCCTTCCTCTCCATAGGAGGGGGATGATGTAACAGTTTTCCCCTGTTCTCTATAACTTTACACTCCCTCGCACCTCATGCGTCTTACGCCTGTCTATTAGCACCTTCATTGGCGCCATTGCCACATGTATACTATCACATTTTGCATATAACTGGTCGAGGCACGCTCAACCAGGCCTCTTACTTTTCAAGTTTGATTAAACCTGTTACAGTGCTAGCTTGTATGTACACTTGAGCGCTCCATTTCTGGGGTCATCGCGGAATTTCCGCCAGGCATTGCGCTTTCTGTCAACTGCTGCAGAGCATTCTGGCGTCCACAAGATTGGATCATGCGGTCTGGTCTTGAAGACCTTGGATGGTATAAAGCAGCTATGACAACAGCATGGTCTGATCTGCCAAAAGGTGTTTGGGTGGTGGTGGGCACAGTTCCAGGCACATCCGACATGCCGAGGTCAAGGATGTTTTCTCCACGAGTGGCTGAGGTAACGTGTTGTCGGAGACCATGAACACAGCACATGTCTTCTGCAGCTTCTCCAGCAGCCGAGGTGCGTGAGCTTCCAAGCCATTCCCGGTTGTAGGCATTGAAGTCCCCTGCCACAATAATGTGTGAGCAGGACTGCCGGGCTTTTTCGAGGTCAGATTCCAGCTGGGTGAAGATACTGCAGCCGCTGTCTGCACTCGTACCAGGTCTGTAGGCAGCACAGACGCCCAGTTCCATGCCTGACGGTGCAGCAACACTGATCCAAAGAGTTTCACACTCAGAGTTGATGTCTAATTGTTTGTACGCCATCCCTTCTTTCAGCCATATGGCGACTCCGCCGCCTTGCGCTGTCCGGTCTCGACGTATTGGGGGTAATAGCGAGGGATTGAGACTTCCGCAACTGTAGCCTTGTCGGGCGCTAGTTTGGTCTCGGTGACGACGAGACTAGCAAGACCATTGGACAAACCGGTCTAACTACAACTTGAAAACGCAAGGCAATAGACCACCAAACTTTGGAGGCTCAAAGGTATGTAAAAAAATACTTGAAGAGGGGAAGCCAAGCGAAGACGAACTGTCATGAACCGAAAGCCATGTTGATGTAACGATGATGGACAAGTGTGCTACAACAAAAGAGTGGTTTCACACGACGTACGTTTCGCCGTATTGCTGGTAACGGCTGATCAGGTGTGCTTTTATACTCGGATTTTGAGCCAATAGTAGGCATTGGCGGATAATGCTCGAAAAGGTGGCAGATTCTGCTCGAAAAGCAGTGAAATTGGCAGAACCATACAAACCTTATGGCGGGCAATTCCTAGAATTCTGCTCCATTTCTTTATCCACATACCAAACATGCATGAAACTTACCAGAAAAAAGTACCGAATTCTGCATATATTTCTGTCGGCATTATCCGCAAAGCCTAGCCAATAGTAACACGTAAAGAGAAAAGGACCTACACTGTTTAAGTCTCGTCATCATCATTCCGTAACGTTCGACATTCCTTGTTGCCGAGGAACATCCATCCCCTACACCTTGCAATGAATGCTCTGTCTGACTTTTCCCGTCCACACACCACGTCATTTACTCTTCTCTGCGTGCTTGTGCGCTTATGAACTCTTTGTGTTCCCTCTGTTGACGCTTCAAAATCGCTCTATTGACACTGCAAAATAGCTCTGTTGACGCTACAAAATTGCTAATCATCTCCCTCCCTCCCTCCCCCCCCCCCCCTCTCTCTCTCTCTCTCTCCCCGTAGCTCTCTCCCTTTTGAAATTCGCTTCCATAGAATTGGGCACCATTGCCCGTTTGGCCTTGCGAAGCAAAATAAAAATCAACAACAACAACAACATAGCTCGTACACATTTTCGTGGCGCATCCCTTCCCCTCATTGGAACTTTCCGCACCTGAGCCTTCCCAGTTGGAAGGTTGTTGGTTTGCGCTTCGTAGATGTGTTGAAATAGGTGTTAGGTCGTCAAATATCTCAACATCCTTTTTCAGTTTTGTGCCTTGTTGTGGCACTATTTGACTGTATTATCTCGTTACCTTGGTTACTTTAGTGGACTGTTAGTCATCAACTAGGAACCTATAGGTCCCTTTCTCTTAGGATAAAAAATGTTTGTAATAATGACAAAATAGAAGGACAAAAGCATTATTTTCTTCACTTCCGCCATGGTTGCTAGCTTTTTTTCTGTTGCTGGAGAAGGGGATGACTCTTGCCAGTAAATCTCAGGCAATACTCCTTGACCGCCACAGACCATCCCTGGATGTCCCACAGCTCACATTTGATGGCATGCAGGTGCCTGAGAGCCCTCAGCTCAAGCTGCTAGGAGTGTTATTTGACAGTACTCTCTCCTTCCGGGCCCACATCCGTTCCCTTGCCGTTAGAGCCAACCAGCGACTCGGCCTGCTCCGAAAGGCGTCTCGGATCCTGGACAGTGCAGGGTGCCTAACTGTGTACAAAGGATTTGTACGGCCTATAATGGAGTACGCCCCTCTCGTCTGGGCAAGTGCGGCACATTGTCACCTCCATCAGCTGGACCTGGTCCAGCGTCGAGCCATGAAGGTTATTGGCCCCTCATTGCTCCCCTGTCTGGCAATCCGAAGGCATGTTTACGGGCTGTGCTACCTGCTGCAATGCATACCAGGTCCAGCTTTGCTTACCAAAATGGTACCTCCCCCAGCAAGAGTTAACGCTGCACCCCGGACGCGCCGGCAACGCCAGTCCCTTGGTGGCCACTCTTTCCAACTCGAAACTCCTCTGCCAGCCTCCAGTCCAGAGTTCATCCGCCGCTCCTTCCCATACTTTGTCCTGGAGAGCTGGAACACACTGCCTGCCCCAATCCTCGCCGATCGCCCAACTCTCAAGAACTTGCCGACATTCAAGACCAAGGCCTACCATCACCTCCGCGAGAACAATTGACTATGGGCCACTGACGTCCACCAGCACTGAGAATAACTGGTTGTCTCTATTATTATCATTTTCTGTTTCTCTCTCTCTCTCTCTCTCTCTCTCTCTCGCACTCTTCCTCTCCTGGGAAGCTCCTCATGCTCATTCTCCCTTTTCTCGGTCCATTTCCCCTTCCTGATGCGTAGACCAACTGATGAACCCGAGACCACTAGGTCGGGGGAGGTTGACCTACCTCATCGGCACGCATACCAGGCTCCTCTGTGTTGTCCATGTTCGCTTGTCCAATTTTGTCTACCTCCCCTTTTTATGTTGCTGGCCAGTGCTTTGTAGTAAAAAATAAATAAAAAAGAAAAAGTCTTGGAAATGTCCAAACCTGAGCCTTCCAAGTTGGAAGGTTGTTGGTTTGCGCCTTGGAGAAGTGTTGGAGTTACATGTAGGTGTCAGGTCGTTGAATGTCTCAGTACTCCTTGTCAGCTTTGTGCCATTTAGTCGCACTCGCCGACTTTATGATCTGGTTGCGTTTGTGGATAGTTAGTCATGACTCGTAACATTTTGTCCTTCTCCATTTTTTACCATGAATAAAAGTGACGTGACAATAATGTCAATCCGCCTGGCCATGCAGTTTTTTCATCTCTTGCTGTCGTCCACTAGAATTCGGCTTAAGAATTAGAAGTATCGTGGCGTTCGACCGATCAGCCAAAGCCGAAAAAGTAGCACTAGTGCTGTAGTATTCATTGGTTTGAGGGAAATTTGTAAACGGGAAAAATTCGAAGGGAATATTGACCGTCACCACCGCCCCAGGATTCGAACCAGGGACCATCGCTTATTATAATAATTAAAATTATGGCCAGCGATACTCAACCACTAAGCTGTCGTCATCCAAGGAGCGACCGTTTTGACATGTAGGTCCGACATGTGGTCATTGATCTGTCGTCCAAACAACAACATTTAAAAAAATGCTATGTGTAACGTTAGATCTACGACTCAGTCAGACCTCTGTAAGATCTCGGACGACTCGGTCAGAGATTAGAAGGCACAAAGTACTCGACCTGGCCGTCACTGTGAGGCTCAAAGTACACCAGCTGGTGGGACCTGAACAGGTGGTCAGCGATATCATAATTATTAGTGTTGTCTTCAGAATGGCTAGCTACTAGTACTGTGGCATGACATTCGGTGCAAACCCGCGAGGAGAGAAAGCAAGCAAGGATCGCAGTACAATGCTGAGCGCTTGGCTAGAAGGTTCGTCTTGAGCGACGCTTGCCTCTTCTCTCTCCCCCTATTGTTTTCATGGCCACGACCTGTTTGGTAGTTTTGTTACTTGGCGGGCCGACATGGAGACGGTTGGAAAGTTTATGCTGCAAGACATCGAACAAGAGAGGTATGTTCTCGGTAAAGGCTCCTATGGCATGGTGTTCAGGGGCCGCTGGCGAGGAATAAAGGTAGCCATAAAGCGACTGCATGCGTATCTGACCATCGAAAACGGACCTGATGGTGCGCAGGGCTACACGACGAAGTTTGTGGAGGAATGGGAGACGCTAAAGTCCATTCATCACTCGCACATCGTCCAGTACTTCGGCGTAATGGCGGCCACTGGGTCCAGCGAGAGCTCCACGCCAGGACTGGTGATGGAAATGATGGCAACGACTCTGCGTGAGCGCTACAAGGCCACGCCAGCGCTCAGCGTGCTAGAGCATCTGAAGATAGCCAGCGGCGTGGCGGCCGGATTGTGCTACTTGCATAATCCCTCCGTGAATATTGTCCATCGCGACCTGACCACCAACAACATCATGCTTGCGTCTGCACACGACTGCCATGCCAAGATCACTGACATTGGCGGAGCGAAAAAGCTACTGCAGGTCGACACAGCTGAGCTGATGACCAAATGCCCAGGCAGTACTCCTTACATGGCACCAGAAACCCTAAAGATGGTGGAGCTTCACATTCTGGCGGGGGAGAGCAACATCGGAAAGCGTGACGCTGGCAGCATCGCCATGTACGGCCTGCCCGTGGATATCTTCGCGTTCGCCATCAGCATGATGTCGATGGTGGTGAGGCGTGAACCGCTGCCGTTTGCGCAGGGCATACGCAACCGAGAGGACGAGCTGGAGCGCATCAAGGATCACCCGCTCAACGACATCGTCGTCAACTGCCTGAAAGAGAATCCTGTTGATCGCAACAGCGCTGATCTCGTCTGTTCCAACGTACAGAAGCTGTTGACTAGCAAGCAAGAGCTGAACACAGCAGTGCAAGGCAGTGGTGATAGGCACACATCCACTGAACAGCATGAGCCGGGCTCAGGCCAATCCACTTCCAGTGTGGGTACACGGACCGGGAGTAGCCTGGGCAGCGACGAGATTGAGCAGATTCTGCAGCGCGCCCATGCAGCCAACAGCAGAGTGCGCGCTCTGGAGAGCGATAACGCCACACTGATGTCAGAACGGGATGGACTGCGCGAGACTCTGGCACACTGTACGTGCTCGGCCGGCAGCCAAGCTGTGGTGCCCAAGCCGGAGCTTGCCGTCGCAAACCAGAAGCTTTCGAAGGCCACTGGTATTCTCTACGAGGGCATGATGAATACAACGGCCTCCTTCTTCCTTAGTTCCAGGCAGCGTGAGAAGATGAGAGCGTCCGCCGAAGCAGCTGTGGTTCTTGGTGGTGGTGGGAAACCTCCAATGGGACATCACCAGCCACAGGTAGGGTATTTTCAACTACTATTGTATTGTGGTTTTGTGTTAAAAAAAACATGACGTGACCTCCCGACTCAGCAAGAGTATGGTATAGTACACTAGCAGAAGCATAATGCCTAACGTGCGGGGTGGGTGTGTGTGTGTGTGTGTCTGTGTGTCTGTGTGTGTGTGTGTGTGTTTGTGTGTGTGTCTCTCTCTCTCTCTCTCTCTCTCTCTCTCTCTCTCTCTCTCTCTCTCTCTCTTTCTCTTTCTCTTTCTCTCTCTGTCTGCAGTGGAGCAAGGTTGGATGCCTTCCGCGGGTGAAGGTAAGCAGTCGCTCCATACCGTTCCTGCACCAGGGCAGGATTGTACTGAAACTGGCCTACGCCGACAGCAAACCAGCCCTGTTCGAGTCGCATCCGGACGTGATCACGGAGTCTAGCTGGGAATGTCGCTCACTTCCACTGAATGACGGAGTAAGCAGCTACTTCTTCTCCTACCGAGATGATCTTCTTTACCTGTGCACGGATCCATCGCAGCAATGTCCGCCCGTCCTTTGGAAGCAAGCTGACGGTGCGTGGAAGAAGCTGGCGCTCTTCAACACGGCACGCGCTCACTATGGTGCCGGGTTGGTCGGCACTCGCCTGGTGATCGCCGGTGGATGTACGGTGTTAAACAGCGGTGAAGAGTCCCCAGTGTTGACCGTGGAGACGTTCTGCCTGGAATCAGACGAGCAGGGAGCTCTCCCGGACCTACCAAAGGTGTGCTATCATCCGGGAATCGTCGGTTATGACAACAAGGTGGCCATCATCGGTGGAGATTGCTACCCACACGGCAACTCGCTGGAAATCCTGACCACTCCTATCGGCGACGCTGATGCGGTCTGGTCAAACTCCGAGCTGCCAAATCTGCCGTTCGGTCGGTGCGCCGCTTGCGTCGTCAACTCATGTCTTGTCGTTGCCGGTGGCAACGCAGATATTGCCAAGGGAGACTGCAGTACAACCGTCACTGACGTGTATGTTCTGGAGAAGTGCGCAGTACCCCCGGTGTGGAAGTGTCTGCCATCGCTTACGACGCCCTCTCAGGACGGTACGTTGCTCGTGGATGACAACAGCCTCGTCTACATGTGCGGCTCGGCAAAGAAGAGCCGCAGCTGGGAGATGGAGCGCGTGGTACAGCGGATGGGCATGATGCTGTAGGTGAGATGCTGGCGTGCAAGCATTCGTTTACGCGTGGGTATGCACTCAAAATGCATAATTATGACACCATGACTTACCAGTATACTTGAGCCCATGCATATGTCTGACTGCACCTATACTATATGTACTCTGTCGTGTCTTACATATCACCCTCACCACCGAACGTGCAGATCAAAAGAAGCTTGAATCATTTGCTAGTTTGAGGGGCTTGAAAAGAGAGAAAAACTCGCCGAAGAGAACATTAGTGGTTATTTAGAACAATTAAAAACCACTTTTGGCTAATGATGCTCTCCTTGCACTTCATGCTAGCTTTTCACCACCTGGTTTTAGATCTGCTTGCAAGCTGAGACATTGCCACCTCTTCTTTGTTATTTTAAAAATGGATGTTGAATTGCCTTTGCTGAGATTTTGCAGATGGTGCTTTGTATATACATTTGATGTGGCGTGATCAACCACATTAGTTCCCGTTGTTAGCACTGAAATGACTGAAATGGCATCCTTGTTATGCTTTCAACTTATTTTTGCAGCTTATATTGGTCGGTGTTAGTATAGTGGGTCATTATTTCCCTGATGATTCCTTCCTGGGTGAAATGTTTCGAATAATTGAAGAAAAAGAACTTGTGTATGCAAAGACAGAGTGTGGGCGTGCGCGCTATAATTCACTGAGTACCCTAGCTGCTCATCAGAACACGAGACAATTCATAACAGGTTGCCTCGCTTGGCGGTAAAATTGTAGCAAACAATTAGTTCTGACTAGAAGCCTCTGCCGCCCCCCCCCCCCCCCCCCCGTATTGAACACTTCATAGTGAGGTTAGCGCTCAACTCACACAAAGAAGTGACATTGCTCAATATGGGCAGGGGCGGATGCAGGGGGGGAGGGGGGGGGGGTTCCAGGGGTTCAGCGTAACCCCCTAAAATAAATTTCGCCAATGTACTACTGGAAAACACGTGCATGTACATGTGCAAGCACATGTACATGTATTATTCAGCTACTCACTTTTGGCTAAACCGGAACCCCTATAGAGATCTCTGGATCCGCCCCTGTTGGGCATTGAGCAGTGAAAGTCCGAGTATTACTGGGCGAGCGGTGAAAGTTCCGGGTATTGAGCACTGTGTGAGCAGTAAAGGTCTGGGTATTGAGCACTTTATGAGCAGGGGAAGTCCGGGTACGGAGCATTATGTGTATGTGAGCGGTAAAAGTCCGGGTAATAGGTACTGTGTGAGCCGTGAAAGTCCGGGTATGGAGCACTATGTGAGCAGTGAAAACCTCCAGCATAATTACACTAGAATGATATATATACATACACATCCCCCTTCACTAACCTTATGCCGTGACCTTGGGCACTAGGGTACAAAAATAGATAGCCGAACCCCACTTCATGAGATATTGACGATTTTTATTAATCGATTTTATTTCCACAATAATTCATGTCTTTTCGTAGTGAAACCTGTTATTATATTGTGCTAATCTTCTAGCGGGATCATTGCTGCTGTGTCAAGGTGCGGACTCACAAATTCTTGCTACATTACTACAAACATTGGGAGATGAACCATACACTAAGAGGTGTTTGGTTTCCGGGCTAGAAAGGTGTTACAAAGTGGCTGCAATGGAGCTTGCGCGCCTAAAGAAACGGTTTGAAAGGATAAGAATAATGACTTTTAAAGACTGGGACATTGAGCCAGTGTTCCTAGCAGTACGTACAGGTATGAAGAGGGGACATACGGAGGCGGGTTATGAGCAATCGTCCACCACTGTAACCATAGATAATATACTGTCAGAAGGTGCGACGACTAGCCACCTAAATGACAGTCACGATAATGAAAGACTCAACGAACTGACCCCCAGCTGAAATACATCTCCGATGCGCAAACCAGCAGCGTTCCAACTTGGAAGGTTCATGGTTAGTGAAGGAGATCGTGTCTAGCTTCTTATAATTATGTCATAATAATTACTAAGCACATCCTCGATCTTTCAGGACGAATCAGTTATATTCATACCACATTATCCTGGGATTTAAAATGATGAATTTAATCCCAAAGTCTAAGACATCACAAGGTGACTCCAGGGTCTGCATCCTCACGGCTGCCTGGAGGTTTCCCCAGCGGGTATTTCTCCCGAAGCTGCACCGGGGGCAGTGAGGGCAAGCCATGCATACGGCGACGGTGATTCTCAATAGGTATGACCTTGGGTATCAAGCGTCTCCTGGCGTTTGTCAACCTGCAGAAAAGCATAGATACGTACACTTCACTGTATGTATGTAGCTACAGTGTAGTACATGTACTAGGCAATTATTTATATTATTATCAAATTTTTCAATGTACATATAAGGTGACACAAAGCTTTCTTGCTGCGACTCGCGTTTCACGTTTTGCGAGATAATCAGGAAAAGATCACTCTTTGTCTTTTGGTCGACTAGCACTATGTGAGCAGAGAAGTAGGGGAAGTAAACTTGCCACATTCCCGTTACCACGCACCTTTCTAAAATTGGGTTCGGAATTTAACCCCGAAATACAACCAGCTTAACGAATAAATGCGACTGGGGCACAGTTAGGAGCAACCTAAAACTAATGTTGATCAAGGCCATGGGTTCAATTTCGTCCAGTTCAGGGTTCGGAGAATGCTCCGACGACGACAATAGAAGATACATATACATGTAGATCTACATAGGAATCCCAGGATCTGGACTCTGGAGTAGATGTATAGAGAAACCCTCATTAAGAAGGACAGTGAAACCTGTGACTAACGACCACCCCAAGGGGTCAGAGAAAGCGGTCTTTAGTGGCAGGTGGTCTTTAGTTAGAGGTTTGCACCGCACAACCATAATATGAATGTGAGACCGTCCTCGCCTGGCGAAGTGGTCTGTAGTACCAGGCTGGTCGCTAGTCACGGTGGTCGCTAGTCACAGGTTTTACTGTACACGGTACTTTCACTTGAGAAGGACTAGTATTCATAACTCCCAGGCGATTGGATAAATCACTGTGTATTCACTGGGTACAAAACATGATTGAACAAGACTCAGTAGAACTCCCATTATTGTGAACAAATACCCGAGTCGGTCCCTTGGTGTTCGTCCAAAAGAGGTTTGACTGCACGTGATACCACCCGTCTTACCAGGCTGCAATCTGGTCCGTAGAGAGGCCCGTCCGTTCAGCTAACTGTGATTTGGTCTTGTGATCAGCATAGGGGCTCTATAAGACGGCGGCAGAAATTGACAAAGCAATCGAGAACAGATAGATAAGAAAGACTTGATTAGAAGTCTCTCCGCAGTCGAGACTGGCACTCAGCCACAGATGCCAGTTAAACCCTCCCTGAACACTCTCTCCGCTTGCACCCTGGCTCCCTCTTTATACTCTGTTACATGATATTGTATCATCTTTCCATTTTCACTCCCTACACAATGCACTTTCCTCTCCCTTCCCCGACCCTCTGTGTCTACTCCTCCCCACTTTTTGCACTAAAAGGTCGCTGAAGCCGAGACCTCAGGTCGGCGTAGATAATCCAGTTTCACCACAACAGCTGCGACTGCAGCCGCCTCTACCATAACACAGCATTCTGTTCCCGAAGTTCATGGTTTGGCGTAAAAAAGAACGAAGAGTGTACACTCTTTTTGTCTGGGTGCACGCCTTCTATAAGCAGACCAACGACCTGGAGGAAACGCAGCAAAACAGAAGTGGCCATCCCAGCTTCTTGCATTTT